TTGCTGAACAGGCACTCAGAGTAGGTAACAAACACTTCATGTATAAAAGTGCTCTACATAGAAAGGCACAGTCTCTGCCCGATTCTGACATGATGACGCAGCCGCTATTTGGGGAGGGGCGCACTATCACAGACTAAGGTCTCTGTTAGTACGAGCCAGCCCCATGCTGCGTTCACGGGGGGTTCCGATTCCCGCGGTCACGAAGGTGTCCAGAGAAATCGGCGCCCCCAGACATTATGACACAGCAGCTATCTGGGGAGGCGCACTATCGCAGACAAAGGTCTCAGTTAGTGCGATTCAACCCATGCACGTTCCCCGGAGGGCCGGGATTACTAAGGTTATGGGAAAAACCCAACGTATCGGCTCCTCTGACAAAACGAGCTAGTACTCACCACACTGAGTGTGAATCAACCCACCGGGGGTGCAGAGTTGAACACACACAAAGGTGAAGGTTAAGAGGGGTATAAAGGCCCCCGCCTTGTTTTACCCCTAGAGACCTCATATTACAGACTTCTAGAGTGCTGTAGTGAAGGGCTCTAATAGCGAATTGCAGTCACCTAAGATGACGCAATCGCTTGCGGGGCATGGTGCCCTGTCGCAGGTGTGGCCTCGGTCAGTGCAATTCAACCCGCATGCGTTCAAGGAGGGCGGGAATCGACGGTTTACGAGTTTAACCGACGTCTCTGCTCCTCTTTCCTCTCAGAACGCATTGATGGTTCCTCCCCCTTTTCTCGGAGGCCCCCCTTTGGGGCTGTTCCAACCACTTCAGTGTTGGGGAACAGTGGCGGTAAGGGCCATAGAGGAATACAGGTCCTTCCACTGAATGCACCCAGCTTCGTGCTCAGCCCCCTTTTTCTCTGCATTGCTGGCATGGTGAAGAAGCTGTACCCTCTCACGCTGGCTAGAACAGACGTTGCAAAAGGGGTTATGCCTCTCCAATTCCATCGGACCCCCACCCCCGTTCAGGGGAGTGGTGGAGACGGGATGAAAACGCCCGTAAAAGTGGCCGCTCTGGTTTCAGAGATTACGGAACTTTTGGCGAAGGAGGCGTCACGTATTTCCCCAGGAGCAAAGGAACAAGGGGCTATATTCGCCCTATTTCCTGGTCCCCCAAAAAAGACGGGGGGAGTGAGGCCGATTTTGGATTTACGCATTCTCAACGAGAGCGTAACCCAAAAGGGCCCTTCCGAATGCTAACGACAAAACGTCTGCTGGAATTTTGTCCAGAGAGGGGACTTTTGTACGAGCATGACCTAAAGGATGCGTACTTTCATGTGCCGGTTCGCCGCGTCACAGTAAGTTTCTGCGGTTCGCCTTTTCAAGGGTGGCGTACGAATACACGAGGATGCCATTTGGGTCCCGCCCTGGCACCTCGCACATTTTCCAAGTGTTGGAGGCGGCATTGAACCCGTTTTCGTCGTCAGGGGATCGGCTACTAGCCTACCTGGACGATCTAAATGGTTCTCGCCCCGTCAGCAGAGCTGGCGATCACTCACACAACACAGACAGTTTATTCATCTCACAAGTCTGGGGTTCGCTGTGAATTGGGGAAAAAAAGCGCGCCCTGGCCCTCATCAGATTGTCTACCTGGGGATTCACCCCGAGGGTAGCCTTGTTGCTAGCCCTGAGGAGTGTCGTCCGAAACACACGGTGACGGCGGCGGGCGATCATGTCCTTTTTGGGGCTCATGTCGTCACCCACTCTGTGGTTCCGCTGGGACTCCTGCATATGCGCAGGATGCAGGATGGTTCCCCCCCAACTAAGACTAGACCCATTGCGTCAACGTCATCGGTTGGTGGGGGTTCCACTCTCGCTCATGCAGATCTGAACTATTGGGAGAAAACCCGTGCGTTCTTACGCACGGGGCCCCATAGGCAAGGTGTCATCCTACAAACCCAGTGTTCACAGACGCGTCTCTGACGGATGGGAGGACATGTCAGACTCAAGCGATAGGGGGTGTGTGGCCTCTTTCGAGTCGCCACTCAACCTCTTGGAGTTGGAAACGGTTTCGACTGGGTTTTGACCCACTTCGCGTCTACCCTTCGGGGTCGCGATGGTGCTGGTCTGGTCAACAACCGACCACAGTTACTCACATAAATCGCCAGGAGGAGTCAGGTCTCCTGCTCTCCATCGGGCGGCAAGGAATTGTGGCTGGGGGGCCACGAGCACCTTCGCTCATTGAAGCAGCACCATTCCGGCTACTTGAATGTGGAGCAGACCTCATGTCAAAAGGGGGGCCTCGAGACGACGAGTGGTGTCCCGCATCCCGGGCATTGTTCTCCAATTTGGGAAAGTTCGGGAGAGCCAGGTGGACCTATTTCGCGTCAAAGCGTGAACGGGAATGTCCTCTATGATTCCTCTGAGGAACAGACGAACCGCCACTGGGAGAGAGAAAGCTTTTGCGCACCAACCGTTGGCCGAGAGTTCTTCCTGTATGGGATTCCCTCCGCTGTCCTGCATTCTCCCACTGTTAGCCAGGGTTTAGGTCAGGAGGGCTGTCAGTGAACTGATAGCCCCCGATCGCCCAGGGGCTCCTTGGTTTGAGGAGATGAGTCAGATGTTGGTGGCGCCAACCCTTTGGGCCCAAATTCCACATCGCGGGGCGCGTTGTCTCAGGGGGGGGCACGATAGGGCGATTTCCCATAATCGGCCAACCACTGAAGGCCTGGCTGCTGAGAGGGCAGGCTAGAGCGCCGTGGGTTTATCTGATGCAGTGATCAGGACCATACAGGGTTCACGTGCCATTTCCACTTCTAAGATGTAGCCAAATGATGGAACTGTTTTCACGATGGTGTTTTCACCAAGTGTAGACCCCATGACTGTCAGTGAGAGTATTCTCTCTTTTCTACAGCTTATTTTGATAAGCAGCGATCTCGCCCGCCACCATTAGGGTGTTTGGCAGCAGCGATTTCGCTTGTCAGAGGGGTTTTTGGGAGAGACAATGTCTTTAGCCACCCTCTAGTGAAACGTTTCCTATTTGGAACGCGGCGACTTAGGCCAACACCTAGAGTCACGCTTCCTCAGTGGGATTTTGGCTTTGGTACTCGAAGCACTATGTAGGGCGCCGTTCGAGCCATTGATCAAATACCCCCCAAGATGCTGTTATCAAGACAGCACTGTTGCTCGCTTTGACTACAGCTAAGCGGGTCAGTGAAATTTGTGTGCTCTTTCGACGGGCGGACCTGACTGCCTGGCCATCAATGGTGACCTGAGCAGAGCGTGTTACGTCCTAACCCCGGCATTTGTGCCGAAAGGTTATTAGGAGTTCATATAGATCACAGACAGTGGAGCTGTGGCGTTTTCCCCTTTCCCCTCATAGAGAGAGGAGTGAGGGGAAAGCTCCATCGCTGTGCCCAGTACGCGCTTTTTGGGGTGTTACGTCGAGCGCAACAGCCCGATTAGGGCATCGCCTCAGCTGTTTGTGTGTCACGGTGCGGCTGCACTGGTAACCACTTTCGAAACACGTCTGTCTCATTGGCTTTGTGAAGGCATTGAGACAGCTTATGAGGCACGGGGGCACAGTTCCTCAGGGTATCAGAGCTCAAATCCACTGTGGAGTAGCAGCTTCTACTGCCCTTTCAGAGGAACAGGGTAAGGATATAGGTAGAAACGGCGGCTTTTGGGCGACACCGTCTCCATTTATCCGTTTCTATCTCTTGGATATGTCTTCTAACTCTTTGGCTCAGTCTGTACTCAGCGTGGCGAAGGGAGACTTTGAGCTAAAGGAGGGGAAAGGATCAGGACTGTGGAGACAAGGGCTCTATCAGGTCCGCTTTTTGATAGGACATATTTTTTTACATGACTCCTGACTGACAGGTTCAGTACAGTAGAGGGCATGTAGGTTGACAGAGTGTGACGTCATCTATCTGCTTGTTCAGAATGTATGGGGCATGTTCTGGATCTGCCCACTAATCTCTGGGGTTCCATTGAGTAAGTGGGGCGGCCTACCGTGTTCACAATGTAGAGTGACACCCCTTTTTGTCATTCCATTACTGACTGGTAGTGATGTTCAGAATATTGAGGGATCATCTATCTGCTATACAGATTAGTATGGCCGGTATTCAGTGATCTGCCCACTAGTCATTGGTTTTGCCATTAGACTAGCTGGGGCGGGTCTTGAACCGATGACGCAGTATTTGTGACACTTGTATTTTACACAGTGGTTGCAGTACTGCGGGGAAATTGGTTGCAGCCATTGCGAGCCGGGCCTTTTTTGTTTCGATGAGAAGTGTTGGGCTCGGCAGGGAGTAATTTTGAGCGCTACAAATCCGCCTTAAACCAAAAGGAGCAGAGCTCCCCTATGGGGCGGAGCTCCACGAAAATAGAACGATTAGTTACCGGAGTGTAACTCCAGTTCTATGAGTGGAGCGGAGCCCCATAGGACTTAAGGCCCTGCCGACTCTCTCTAGTCTCGCTGAAGATAAATATTTTGGGAGGCAGATTGAGGGGAGGCATCCCCTCTTATAGGGACACCTGTACTCCTATTGGCTGCAGGTGTGTGCATAATTTTGTCTCAGGCTGATGCTGCCTTAGGGCAGAGGGTAAACCAATAAGAGCAGAGCTCCCCTATGGGGCTCCGCTCCACTCATAGAACTGGAGTTACACTCCGGTAACTAATCGTTTTGATACTTTTTTTTTTTTAGGCTTTTAGGTCACTGAATTGTGGTGCATGTGTTGGTTTTCGCATTAGGGAGTTGTGCGGTTACTGGGCCATAGACGTAAGCTAATGTTAACGTTCGCTATAGACTAACTTTTTCCAACACTGTCATTGCTGTGATTAAGCAAATTACAGTACTGTCAGTTCTGTTGCACGGACGGGATGATTGATGCTGGCTTGATACTGCTGACTTGATGCTTGTTGGCAAGCACGCGAACTACGTTAGTTGGATAACATAAGGCAGCGAATGTGTTTACCTACTTGGCAAACTAGCTAAGTTAGTATGAATCATGCTACATGTATAAAAGGTTTATTGCCACTTATGCATTCTACTAAAGTAAAGATGTCTTGTTCGATGTGGGCATCATATTCGCATCTTGATGCTGTGCCCCGTCTCTACCCCTGCTCACCAGCAATGTCCCGCTCAGTGATCCAGCCCCTGAGTGCAGGGGCCAATGCCCCAGAGGCATTGTCCCTCCTGGAGCCCGTGGAGAGGGACCCCATTCAGCGTCCCGCTAGCCCCCTGAAGATGCACCGTGCCCTGAGAGAACCCGGAGGAGAAGGGTTACTGTGGCGCCAGTGTTATGGGCTAGTGAGCAGGGTATGTCACATGGAGAGCCTCCTGCAGACCCTCAAGCTCACCACCTTTCGCTTGGAGACTGAGAGAGACCTGGATCCCTTACACTCAGGTAATGGGCTTTGACAACCTGCATCAAAACAATGTCACAATAAACACATTAGGGAACATACAGTGGCTTGCAAAAGTATCACCCCCCTTGGCATTTTTCCTATTTTGTTGCCTTACAACCTGGAATTAAAATTGATTTTTGGGGGGTTGTATAATTTGATTTACACATCATGCCTACCACTTTGAAGATGCAAAATATTTTTTTTGGGGAAACAAACAAGAAATAAGACACAAAAAACTGAACTTGAGCGTTCATAACTATTCACCCCCCCAAAGTCATACTTTGTAGAGCCACCTTTTGCAGCAATTACAGCTGCAAGTCTCTTGGGGTATGTCTCTATAAGCTTGGCACATCTAGCCACTGGGATTTTGCCCATTCTTCAAGGCAAAACTGCTCCAGCTCCTTCAAGTTGGATGGGTTCCGCTGGTGTACAGCAATCTTTGTCATACCACAGATTCTCAATTGGATTGAGGTCTGGGCTTTGACTAGGCCATTCCAAGACATTTAAATGTTTCCCCTTAAACCACTCAAGTGTTGCTTTAGCAGTATGCTTAGGGTCATTGTCCTGCTGGAAGACGAACCTCCGTCCCAGTCTCAAATCTCTGGAAGACTGAAACAGGTTTCCCTCAAGAATTTCCCTGTATTTAGCGCCATCCAGCATTCCTTCAATTCTGACCTGTTTCCCAGTCCCTGCCGATGAAAAACATCCCCACAGCATGATGCTGCCACCACCATGCTTCACTGTGGGGATGGTGTTCTCGGGGTGATGAGAGGTGTTGGGTTTGCCACAGACATAGCATTTTCCTTGATGGCCAAAAAGCTCCATTTGAGTCTCATCTGACCGGAGAACCTTCTTCCATATGTTTGGGGAGTCTCCCACATGCCTTTTGGCAAAATGTGTTTGCTTATTTTTTCTTGAAGCAATGGCTTTTTTTCTGGACACTCTTCTGTAAAGTCCAGCTCTGTGGAGTGTACAGCTTAAAGTGGTCCTATGGACAGATACTCCAATCTCTGCGGTAGAGCTTTGCAGCTCCTTCAGGGTTATCTTTGGTCTCTTTGTTTGCCTCTGATTAATGCCCTCCTTGCCTGGTCTGTGAGTTTTGGTGGCCTGCCCTCTCTTGGCAGGTTTGTGTGTGGTGCCATATTCTTTTTATTTTTAATAATGGATTTAATGGTGCTCCGTGGGATGTTCAACGTTTCTGATATTTTTTTATAACCCAACCCTGATTTGTACTTCTCCACAACTCTGTCCTGACCTGTTTAGAGAGCTCTTTGGTCTTCATGGTGCCGCTTGCTTGGTGGTGTTGCAGACTCTGGGGCCTTTCACAACAGGTGTATATATACTGAGATCATGTGACAGATCATGTGACACTTAGATTGCACACAGGTGGACTTTATTTCACTAATTATGTGACTTCTGAAGGTAATTGGTTGCACCAGATCTCATTTAGGGGCTTCATAGCAAAGGGGGTGAATACATATGCACACACCACTTTTCCGTTATTTATTTTTAGAATTTCTTGAAACAAGTTATTTTTTTTCATTTCACTTCAACAATTTGGTCCAATTCATGTCCATTACATGAAATCCAAATAAAAATCAATTTAAATTACAGGTTGTAATGCAACAAAATAGGAAAAACGCCAAGGGGGATGAATACTTTTGCAGCTTATAAAGTTGGTAAGTTTCTCTTTGCTAATGACTTGTCAACACCAGTCTGTCCCATTTGTCTCGATTAGTCTGTCTCTTATTTCCTATCCACATCTGTCCCTCTGTCTGCCTGTGCAGCCCGTCTGAAAGAGCAGCTGTCTGCGCTGCAGCAGGAGAGTGATGAGGAGCAGCGGGCCTCCAGAAGGGAGGTGATGCGGCCAGGCCTGCCTGGACAGGGACGAGTCCCGAGAGGAGGTGCAGAGACTGGGGGAGGCCCTGGAGGTTGCCACCGCCTCCAAGGTACCCGGACCCTCCACATCCCATCTCTCTTCAACACACAACAGTCTTTATGTCAGCGTTTACCCACCTTTTTTTTACTAATACAACCCAGATGATGAGTATATGGCAAATCTAGCCATTTTCTGATATTTAGATAATAACCCTAACAGTTCTGGTATTGTTGTTGCAGATGGATGTGGCTCTGGCTGCAGAGGAGCTGAAGATGGTCAAAGTCCAGATGAGTGAGAAGCTGCTGCAGGTGCGGTCACTGTAGGGGCATCATGGGACAGGGTGGTGGAGTAGGGGATGTCACATGGCCATCTGACAGAGAAGAGAGTACATGACGCTTGATACACCTGTTTACCTAAACCAAACAACCCTTCAACTCTAATGACCCTGACCTTTTTAGCTGAAGGATCAGATGTCCCAGGAGTCTGCTCGGTCTTTTCAGAACGAGAAACCCCACAGTGCACTGCTCCAGAGGGTGGAGGAGATGGAGAGAGTGGTGGAGAAGGAGAGAAGACAGGTACAGTAGGTGTGACGTAATACAGATTGAGGAAAAGAAAAAGAAAACAGAGAACCATGATATCCTGTCCCTCTCTGCCCCCAGGCCCAGACAGTGCAGGCAGACTGCCATGCCCTGCGTTCTGATGGACAGGCCACCAGACAGGGACTAGAAGAGGAGAAGGACAGAGGCCACAGGCTGCAGGAGCAATGTGAGCAGCTCAAAGGGCAGGCAGGTCAGCAACACTGCATTATGGGAGTTTAAGTTTCTCTGGATGTTTTATATTATGCTGTACAGTGTGGTCCATCATTTGATATGTTAGTGTTCCTGAATGACAGATTTCATGTAGACAATTACAGTGGGGAAAAAAAAGTATTTAGTCAGCCACCAATTGTGCAAGTTCTCCCACTTAAAAAGATGAGAGGCCTGTAATTTTCATCATAGGTACACGTCAACTATGACAGACAAATTGAGAGAAATAAAATCCAGAAAATCACATTGTAGGATTTTTAATGAATTTATTTGCAAATTATGGTGGAAATAAGTATTTGGTCACCTACAAACAAGCAAGATTTCTGGCTCTCACAGACCTGTAACTTCTTCTTTAAGAGGCTCCTCTGTCCTCCACTCGTTACCTGTATTATGGCCCCTGTTTGAACTTGTTATCAGTATAAAAGACACCTGTCCACAACCTCAAACAGTCACACTCCAAACTCCACTATGGCCAAGACCAAAGAGCTGTCAAAGGACACCAGAAACAAAATTGTAGACCTGCACCAGGCTGGGAAGACTGAATCTGCAATAGGTAAGCAGCTTGGTTTGAAGAAATCAACTGTGGGAGCAATATTAGGAAATGGAAGACATACAATCTCCCTCGATCTGGGGCTCCACGCAAGATCTCACCCCGTGGGGTCAAAATGATCACAAGAACGGTGAGCAAAAATCCTAGAACCACACGGGGGGACCTAGTGAATGACCTGCAGAGAGCTGGGACCAAAGTAACAAAGCCTACCATCAGTAACACACTACGCCGCCAGGGACTCAAATCCTGCAGTGCTAGACGTGTCCCCCTGCTTAAGCCAGTACATGTCCAGGCCTGTCTGAAGTTTGCTAGAGTGCATTTGGATGATCCAGAAGAGGATTGGGAGAATGTCATATGGTCAGATGAAACCAAAATATAACTTTTTGGTAAAAACTCAACTCGTCGTGTTTGGAGGACAAAGAATGCTGAGTTGCATCCAAAGAACACCATACCTACTGTGAAGCATGGGGGTGGAAACATCATGCTTTGGGGCTGTCTTTCTGCAAAGGGACCAGGATGACTGATCCGTGTAAAGGAAAGAATGAATGGGGCCATGTATCGTGAGATTTGAGTGAAAACCTCCTTCCATCAGCAAGGGCATTGAAAATGAAACGTGGCTGGGTCTTTCAGCATGACAATGATCCCAAACACACCGCCCGGGCAACGAAGGAGTGGCTTCGTAAGAAGCATTTCAAGGTCCTGGAGTGGCCTAGCCAGTCTCCAGATCTCAACCCCATAGAAAATCTTTGGAGGGAGTTGAAAGTCTGTGTTGCCCAGCGACAGCCCCAAACCATCACTGCTCTAGAGGAGATCTGCATGGAGGAATGGGCCAAAATACCAGCAACAGTGTGTGAAAACCTTGTGAAGACTTACAGAAAACGTTTGACCTGTGTCATTGCCAACAAAGGGTATATAACAAAGTATTGAGAAAGTTTTGTTATTGACCAAATACTTATTTTCCACCATAATTTGCAAATAAATTCATTAAAAATCCTACAATGTGATTTTCTGGATTTTTTTCCCTCATTTTGTCTCTCATAGTTGACGTGTACCTATGATGAAAATTACAGGCCTCCTCATCTTTTTAAGTGGGAGAACTTGCACAATTGGTGGCTGACTAAATACTTTTTTCCCCACTGTAAATGGTTGATCGCTTCATCCTTTTACAGAGGTGAAGAGACTCTTGTTTTGGAGTTGACAGGTGAACTAAAAGTAAGTGCCAGCACTTGAGTGATATCAATCAACTGTGTTGAATGTGTGTACCTGAGTGTGTATTGTGTGTGTACCTGATTGTGTATGCAGATTGTGTGTGTTAATTAGTGTGTATTGTGTATGCAGATGCACGACTAGCCCTGCAGCAGCAGGAGAACAGCAGGTACTGAGAGATGGAGATCTGAGGACTGCAGCTGACAAAGTCCCAGGTCAGTGGCCCACCTCAGAATATACATACTAGGGCTGAACGATTAATTGCATTCGCGATAATATCGCGATTTGACTGAACGCGATTTTCTAATCGCAACGTGCGCGATTTGAGGTGGTCACGTGACGCGACTTTCATGCTGTCCAGCGCAATGGCCTCTTGCTCGACGGAACAGTCAGAAACTGACACAGCTGATACTTTAATATCGAAGAGGAACAGCACGTCGGTGGTGTGGAACTATTTTGGTTTTATAAAAAGAAGATGCTGAGCAGCGTCAGGTGTTGTGCAGAGCATGCCGTGCTCCGATTGCTACTTCACGGGGTAACACTACACAACCTGTTTCAGCACTTAAAAAAATACCACAAATCAGCATGACAGTTGTATGACCAAAATGCCGAGCATCAGTGCGCGAGACAAGCCAAATACCTCAAGACAGGGATCACTGACAGAATGTTCGAAAGTGTCACTCCGTATGAACGTAATTCAAAACGGCACGGAGAAATCACTCGGACAATAACCGAGTTCATAGCCAAAGATATGATGCCTCTCAGCACGGTGACCAAGCCTGGGTTCATGCATTATACATACGCTTGATAAACGTACAGTATACCCTCCCGCACATACTTCAGTCAGACTGCCATACCGGAGCTGTACAAAAAGTGCAAAGAGAAAGTCGCCGCGGAACTTAAAACGGTGGAGTTTTTTGCTAGCACTACTGATATGTGGTCAAGCCGCACAGCTGAGCCGTACCAGAGTCTTACAGTCCATTTTATTGATGAAGATTTCAACTCCGAGCTCGCTGCCTACAAACTACCTACTTCCCAGACGATCACACAGGGGAAAATATTGCAGCCGGCCTGAGAGAAGGGCTTGTCAGCTGGGATCTCCACGAGGAGAATCACGTCTGCATCACGACGGACAACGGTCGAATATGGTGCTTGCTGCGCGCTTAATGAATGGACGAGGCTCCAATGTTTTGGCCACAGATTACATCTTGCCATTGGTAAGTTACGTGTGCGTGTTGTGTGTGTGGTGGTGTGTGTGTGTGTGTGTGTGTGTGTTTGGTGTGTGTGTTTGTGTGTGCGCGAGTGCGAGAGAGAGAGATGCGTCGATTAGTAAAGCTGAATATACAAATATATATAAATGAATTATATAAATCGGATGGGATTAAATAAATTCATAACTTCCACTCCTTTTCTAATATGTAAATTCATTTTACTTGCTTATATCATATGTCTGTCTGTGGTGGAATGCCCACCTGCATTTTTTTTCTTTCTTGTTTTTGTTTTTTACATGTTTTTTAGTGTTTATGAGGAGAGAGAGAAAGAGAGAGAGAATTGACATGCAAATAAAGACCCTTTGAATTGAGAGAGAGAGAGAGGATGTGTGTTGGAGTGTGTATTTCAGAATTACAGCTAATTTGAGGTGTGTAATAGTGAGAGCCTTGATCAAAACTCAAATTTGTGTATACACTACTTTTTATTTCTTTTAGAAAATGCACTCAAAGATGACAGAGTGTCAAGGGCAACAGCACTGTGCAGGAAGCTGGGGGGCACTTTTTCCCACAGTTGGAAGAAGAAAGCAGCCCTGACGGAGGCACAGAGAGAGCTCAAATCCCTGAGCACAACCTCATAACGGAGTGCCCAACAAGATGGGTTCTAAAGAAATGATGATTGCCAGAGTGCTTGAACAGGCAAAGCCATTTCTCAGGTATTGTCTGGAGATCGATATGCACGCTCCCTTATCCCAACCTGGCAGGATATTGACGTGTTGGAGTCGATTCACAAGGCACTGCATCCTCTACTGGAGTTTACTGATGCTCTTTCTGGAGAGGAGTATGTAAGCATCTCCTACCTCAAGCCAGTTCTCCACCTTTTTGCCACATCAGTCCTGGCTGAAGATGCTGAGGACACTGACCTGACTAAATCAATAAAAACCAAAGTCCTAGCATACTCAATAACAAATATGGAGACCCAAACATCCAGGAGCTTTGGATGTTGCCTGTTTCCTGGACCCTAGGTTCAAAATACAGTACATCAGTACAGACAACATCCCTGCTATCAAGACTCGTCTGAAGACAGAGATAGTAGACTTGGCACAACGTACATATCATTGGGTAAATAATTATGTATTTCACAAAAACAAAAATTTTCTGTAAATCTAACTGGAAAACTAATGGCTGTTGTTTTCATCTAATAGGAGAAGAGGTCTCGTACTGAAACTGTTCAGATGCCTCAAAGTGCACAGTCCTTGGGGGAAAAGACGAAGAGGTCTCTTGGCAGTTTTTTCAAGACCAGTTCAGCCTCTCCTTCTTTGCCTGTAAATCTTGAAGATGTCGCAGAGGCAGAGATAAACAATTACCTGATGACTCCTACCATTGATGGAGAAGATGATCCATTGGCTTGGTGGAGGGTGCACAAGATCAGCTACCACAGTTGTGCACCATGGCACGCAATACTTTGTGTGTACCTGCTACAAGCGCTCCCTCAGAGCGTCTTTTTAGCACAGGAGGGAATATTGTGACTTGCACTCGCTCAGCCTTGAAGCCAGAAAAAGTCAATATTCTGGTTTTTCTAGCAAAAAACCTGTGAGCCACTGAGAACAGAACTGTTGGATAAGTATGGCTGGCAGTGCCATACTCGTAGTGAACTTTAGTCTGTGTGGTGTGTTATTGTTGTGTACTGTGAGATAAGTGAGGCTCATCTATTTTATATTATAATATTCAAATCGTTTATAAAAAATAGTTTGTCTAAATTAAAAGTGCATTTCTCATTTTTTATTTATAACTTTATTTACTTTGATTTTACAAAAATTTTCAAAGCAAATTCCTTGTTTCAGTGTGTGAAATGTTACTGACTTGGGAGCAGTAAGATACATACAATTTAAAATTATTTGTTTTCTTAAGACTGTACCTTTTGCACACAGTGTTTACAAAGTTCATGCTTTGTTTAAATTATTTAAATGCACAGTGGCAAAGCCACAGATGTTTCTGTAATGAGCAGTTCAATAAAAAGTCATTTATTTCAAGTCATACATGTTTGAATTTAATTCTAACAAATAGACCCAGCCTATGGGAAAGAACATTTCACACTAAATGTATATACTTGTGTTGGTCATATTTAAATCATTCATTATGTTTTGTAGGGGAAAAAGGATAAAATTAAATCGCATATTAAATCGCAATCGCAATATTGGGGGCAAAAAAATCGCAATTAGATTATTTTCCAAAATCGTTCAGCCTTAATACATACTATACATTAAAAGACCATTATAAACTGTGTGGTTGGAGCCCTGAATGCTGATTGGCTGAAAGCCGTGGTATACCACGGGTATGACAAAACATTTATTTTGACTCCTCTAATTACGTTGGTTACCTGTTTATAATAGCAATAAGGACCTCGGGGTTTGTGGTATATGGCCAATATACCACGGCTAAGGGCTATATCCAGGCACTCCGCGTTGCATCGTGCATAAGAAACACCCCCTCATGCCTTATTGCTTAATTATACCATGGCATTGTTGAATACTTATTTCTCATTGGCTTGAAGGGCATTGTAGAGCAGCATTATTTCCCTATAACGCCAGTATATTTGCACGGTAGAATTCAATAGCTATAGTTAATTCTACATGTTTGAGCTGCTTTGAAAGCAAAAGTAGACTTGAAAACATTATTGGCATTGTTGAAAATCAATTTTATAATGGCAAGTCTCTTTGTTTGGTTACCACGGCAACTTCTGTAGCTATCTAGTAAACTTGCTAGCTTCTTCATGGATGTTGAACACATTTCTACTGGCAAATGAACACATTTGTAGCTGCAAATGTGGTCAATTATAGCCATTGTATAAAAGGGATAATCAACTCGGGACTCTATGCGTTCTCTGGAAAATAATGCAACTGTGTGGAAGGTCAGTTCCACTCCACTGGGCGTGTCATGGAACCAGTGGCGGCTCCTGAAAAAATTCTCAGGAGGGGCAATTTTTCTGATGATTAGGTGACCTACACACATTTTAAAAAGATATGTCCAGCAACAACATGAAGACAGGGGCAGCATATAAGTCAATACCAAGAAGCATTTATTGACTGATCTCAAAGTGTTGCTTACAAAAGCAAAATAAGTTATCACAGTAAAAATAATCAAGGGTGTTCTTTCACATTCCTCAACACTGCATAAACAATATGTATGGCTTTGTAAAAATGAACAACCATATTCTGGCCAATTGTATAGATTTGTAAATATGAACAACCATATTCTGGCCAATTGTATAGATTTGTAAAAATGAACATGAACAGATTTTTTATTTTTTGAATGGCAGTACCTTTCAAACATGTCTGCTTGCAGTAAGGTAGCACTCACAAGGTGGCCAGAGAAAGAGAACCTTTCTTTGGTGTGATCCAGGATGGTGTTGCAGACCTCTTCAGACAGCCTCTGCTTCTCCTTTCTCTCAAAGGCTGTTCTGGGTCTTTTGGCTCCTGTTGCTTCTTGCAGCTGCTGTGAGAGGAGTCCCTGAAGGCAAACAGACCAATGTGTTTGTTGGCTTGTACGTATTGTTGTCTATGTGATGCACAGTATATGCAATGATCCATGTATAGTACAAATACTTCAGTTCCACTTAAAATGGGCAGGGATGCATAAGTCTTAGTGTTTAGTAGCCTTTGTGTCTCACATAGCCTGGATGTTCAGCACAGTATACAGTGGTGCTCATAAGCTTATGATCCATGCTAAAGTTGACTAAAAAGGAATAAAAAAGAAAAGAAATTGGTTGTCCTTAAAGGTTGGATTTTCCAACTTTTTAATAAGTCATTAAGATCAATTTCCAAAAGATGATTTTTTTATTCCTCTTTTTAGTCAGCTTTAGAATGTGTTCATACACTTATGAGCACCACTGTACAGTACACATAGTATATAAAATAAGATAGATTACACCACTGGCATATATAATGACAATAATGTAATTCAAACACAAATGCAGTCTCCTTTCATGCATACATTTTCAAATAAAGCTCTGCTTTGAGAAAGATCGAATGATATTGTTTAATCTTATCTACCTTATGGCCTGCACACTGCTTGCGAAGCTGTCGAGGGCACGTTTGATAAAGACAGCATCGATGTCCTTATTCTGTAGCTTCTGGTTCGGTGGGCTGGTCAAATGAACCCAATGAACCCGTCCGATGGCTTCAAAACATTCTATGAGGTCGTCTCGATTCTCGTAGACAGTGTTCACGATCTGCTGTTGCTAACCTCATCGTTGTGGCGGCGGACAGCTAGCCTGTATCCCTCATCCAGTTGAGTGGCAATATTCACTCTCACCAAAGCAGACAATCTCAAACAGCTATCAATGTGGGTCTTTGACAGCTCATTTTCTAATCTTTTCTGAAAGATGGTGCATGTCGGTTACACCAGTCGCTGTCCAAGCGTTGCTGTCTGCCGTTCATGGTTACGTTACGTTACGTTATGACGAAAGCGCGTAGTGCAAGCCCTCAGACACCCATAGAGAATGTATTGAAAGCTCAGAAATTTGAAAAAAAAATATTTTACATTAGAGGCTATGAGAGACTTCTGGGCGATTTTCAACTGACTGAAATCGCCCCAAAACGGGCGGGGACATTTGAAGCACGACTTTAGCCTGATTGGACATTAGTGGCTGGCAGATCAGACGTGAACACTGAACTACTGTTGCCATGATATAATTGATTAGAAAAAAATCCCTTCCTTTTCCCGTTTGGCAGTGCGTCGCCCATATCGCCCTATGAACACACCGCCCATGCATGGAAACACACCTTCCACGTCGTTCATTATTTTCCAAAGAATGCATAGCCCCTCATTGATTATCCCTTATTTATTTAACAATAGATTGCAGTATACAGTATTTAAAGACCATGTGTAGATGACCACTTATCTGTATCCATACCCATTGGATGCGGTGATCACAATATATGGCTATATCTAGGAGAACCAAGGTTCCAAAAGCTGGGCCTAATATTGTGTATAAGAGATCATACAAACGTTTTTGCTGCGACTCCTATGTGGATGATGTAAAAAAATATTTGTTGTTCTGATGTGATTTAATAAGGAGACATCCAGACGCTGCACTTGATGAGTTTCTGAAATTGCTTCTTACAATTATTGATAAACATGCACCTGTTAAGAAACTGACTGTTAGAACTGTTAAGGCTCTGTGGATTGTTGAAAGAGATTGGGCAAAAGGAGGGGCTAACAAGTCTGGCTGCACATCTGACGATGACTTACTGCAAATGCGAAATTATGTGACTAAATTTAACAAAAATAAAAAAACTGATTATATGATGGAAGATGGAAAACTGTGGCTTACTTTAAATGAAATTATTAATCACACAACCGTTTGATGTTGCCAATATTTTAATGATTACTTAATTGGCATACTTAAGCAGGAAGGCCCAAAATGAACAGTGAGCCATTGTATCATGCATAAAAAAAACAAATAATTAAAGAAAAGCATTGTAAGTTAGAATTTTGTAATGTTAGTGTGGGACAGGTGGAAAAAGTATGTTATTGATCAATAATGACAAACCTCTTGGCATTGACAACTTAGATGGAAGGCTACTGAGGATGGTAGCTGACTCTATGGCCACTCCTATCTGTCATATATTTAATCTGAGTCTAGAAGAAGGTGTTTGTCCTCAGGCCTGGAGGGAAGCCAAAGTCATTCCGCTACCAAGACTGGTAAACTGGCTTTTACTGGTTCTAACAGAGACCTAGAAGCTTACTGCCAGCTCTTAGCAACCTGTGGAAAAAATTGTGTTTGACCAATACAATGCTATTTCTCTGTAAACAAATTGACAACAGACTTTCAGCATGCTTATAGAGAAGGGCACTCAACATGTACTGCACTGACACAAATGATTGGTTGAAAGAAATTGATAATAAAAAGATTGTGGGAGCTGTACTGTTAGTTTCAGTGCAGCCTTTGATATTATTGACCAAACCTGTTGTTGAGAGAACTTATGTGTTATGTATTTCAACTCAGCTCTGAATCCATGTTATGGCAATCTATCTAATAGAACTCAAATAGGCTTTCTTTAATGGAAAGCTTCTCTAATGTCAAACATTTAGGGTGTGGTGTACCGCAGATCAGTTCTCTTAGCCTCTACTTTTTTCTATTTTTACCAATGGACATGCCACTGGAATTAAACAAAGCCTGTGTGTCTATGTATGCTGATGATTCAACCATATACGTTTCAGCAACACAGCTAATGAAGTCACTTAACTTCAACGCTTAACAAGGAGTTGCAGTCAGTTTTGGAATGGGTGGCCAGTAATAAACTGATCTGAACATCTTTAAAACTAAGAACATTGTATTTGGTACAAATTATTCCCTAAACTCTAGACCTCAGCTGAATCTGGTAATGAATGGTGGTGACTGTTGAACAAGTTGAGGAGACAAAATTACTTGGTGTTACCTTAGATTGTAAATTGTCATGGTTAAACATATACAGTACCAGTCAAAGTTTGGACACACCTCCTCACTCAAGGGTGTTTCTTTATTTGTACTATTTTCTACATTGTAGAATAAAAGTGAAGACATCAAAACTATGAATAACACATATGGAATCATGTAGTAACCAAAAAAGTGTTTTAACAAATCAAAATATATTTTATATTTGAGATTCTTCAAATAGCCACCCTTTGCCTTTATGACAGCTTGCACACTCTGTGGGACCCAGGCTTTCGCAACAGCTAATGGGGATCCTAATAAAAACCCCCCAGAAATACCAATCATGTATAGATCTCAGGGGTATAGGAATAAATGGTGACTTTTTACTCTTTCATTCCCCCTCTTTCTCTCTGTTACATAGGTGTTTAACAAGCAGTTGGAGAGTCAGTGCTCTGAGTTGAGTTCTGCCCTACGTTCTCTTTCTGTGGAGAATCCAAGCTACAGACTTGAACACCAGGCTAGATTAAGGTACTGCCTCTAGCCCGCTTCTCTCACACCACACACACACACACACACACACACACACACACACACACACACACACACACTAGTACAGGCTACATGTTATTCTATTCCTGTGTCTCTCTCAGGCAGAGAGGAGTCGTGTGGCCAAGCAGCTGGCATGAGCAAGACCTCCTGCTGGAAGAAGCCAGACGCAACATCCAGGCAGAACTGAAGGGGGCGCTATCAGCTAAAGTTAAATTGCAGATGGAGCTGTGGGTGCTAAAGTTAAACTGCTAATACTCATAGGAATGAATAATCTCTATGAATAAGGAATGAATAGGATCTCAATGATAATGCTAGCCACACACATCCACACCTCTCTTTATGCTCCACAGGGAGACTCTGAAGGTTGACCACGCCCAACTTCTGCAGAGTTCCACAGTTGCCCAAGAGACCGTTGTCACTCAGCGGGAGCTGTTGGAGCGTACCATTGAGAGGTTGCGAGGGGATCTGGACTCGGCTGTAAAGGAAGGGGAGGTCGTGAGGACAGACAGGGACAGTGCAAAGACTGAGGTGCAGCTGCCATGTCTCTTAGAAATACATAGCCTAAGAGTACAAGGTTGTTAAAGCTTAACTGGGCTTTGCATTGTCTCTTTTATAGTGTCTGTGGATTGTTCTTAAATGTTACAGTATGTCCCTATCTCTCTGTCTTTGGGTCACAGATGCATTGTGGTCACCAAGCTAGAGTGTGAGAGGAGTGCTCTGGAAACGCAACTTGCTAAAGTCAAGGTACTGTACTGCCAAGCTCTCTGATAATCTCTGACAACGATTCAGACTGATCTCAGACCTTCATGAAAATGGCCTACACATTAACAGTGAACACACTTCGTGTCCGAATCTGACCATAGCTTCCTTAACTGTCCTCTGTCCACTTTGCATCTGTGTGATTGACAGTTGGAGGCAGGCACTCTGAGCTCCACCTTGCAGAAGCAGGAGGAAGAGAACAGGAGGCTCATGGGAAAGCTGGTTGCCATGGAGCACCAGCAGGTGAGAGATCCATTCAGTATCTACAGACTGGGGTCACATCACTTTCAATCTGTCCATCCATAGGAATTTGTGTATGTAACATACTTTCTCTATTATTTTCTTTCTTCATCCTGACAATTTCCTCTTTCCCCTCACCTCTCAACGCATGGTGTCCTCTTTACCCAGAATGCTCAGCAGCAGGTGGAGCCAGATGCTGAAGGAGCTGACGGACATTAAGAACAACCTGGCCTATGAAAAAGGGGAAGCTACAGGTAAGGAGTTTACACTAAAACCAGTGGTGGAAAAAGTACAACAATTAGTATCAAAAGTAAAAGTTTTACATTATTAAAATTCCTATACTAAGCAAACCAGACGGTACAATTTTCTTGTTTTTTTAATTTCGGATAGCCAGGGGCACACTCCAACACTCAGACATAATTTACAACTAAGCATGTTATTTAGTGAGTCTGCCAGATGAGAGACAGTAGGGATGACCAGGGATGTTCTCTTGAAAAGTGCGTGAATTGGACCATTTCCTGTCCTGCTAAGCATTAAAAATGTGTCAGGAAAATGTATGGAGTAAAAAGTACATTATTTTCATTAGGAATGTAGTGAAGTAAAGTAGTCAACAATATAAAAATGATAGTACAGTACCCCCCAAAAACTACTGAAGTAGTACTTTATTGGTATTTTTACTTAAGTACTTTACACCACTGACTAAACACACCGACCACACCTGTTGATGTGTGTGGCGTTCATGTATCCTCATGTTGAAGTGTATTTCCTCCTAATGCTCTTCCTCTCAACTAGACCAGGGTAGATCAACTTCAGGAGGAGCTGCAAGCTTTAAGGGACACCCATGTAGAAAGTGTCCAACAACACAAGCTGAGCTCTGTGTTAGAGGACAAGTACACACAGGTACACCACTCATGGTAGTATGTATTCATGTGGTAATGTAGTAATGGTTCATATGTCAAAAACAAGTTGACTCCATAACATACACCTGTCTACTCCCCTACCCGGTCAGCTCTGAAATGAGCACCCTGAAGACAACCTGTCATAAACTGGAGGCTCAGCTCAGACAGGCCAGGCTGCAGTCCAGGTGAAGGAGGGGGAGGTGACGTCAGTGGTGGCAGCCAGAGACGAGGCTCTGAGGGACAGCCGGACCCTGAGGGGACAACGGACAAACTGCAGGAGCAGCACGGGGACAAGGTCAGAGGAATAGTAAAATGGTTACCCAACCGGGTCCTGGAGAGTCTTTGTTCAAGATATTTTTACATTTACATTTTAGGGCATTTAGCAGACACTCTTATCCAGAGCGACTTAAAGGAGCAATAGGGTTAAGTGCCTTGCTCAAGGGCACATCGACAGATTTTTCACTAGTCGGCTTGGGGATTAGAACCAGCGACCTTTCGGTTATGGGACAACGCTCTTAACCACTAAGCTACTGATTCTGCTCTGTGTATTTGTCCTGTAGCTGTGTGAGCTGGAGGGCTGGCTGGGTGTCTCCCCTCAGGGTGGGGGCAGTGTGGGCTCAGACCCTGGAGAACGTTTTGGCCTCCCACTCCCATCGCAACACAACACTGAGACGGTACAGAAGGAGCTGGGGGGACAGAGCAGGAGCTGGCCTCACTCAGGAGAGACAGGAGGTGTCTGTCTGTCTGTATTGTGCATGTATATGGGTGTATGTTTTAACAACCCATGTGTTTGTCAGACTGCAGAGTCAGAGAGAGATTGAAACTACAGGCAGAGGTGGAGAAGCTCCAAGACATCATGGCAACAACTCACTCCAAGATAAAACAAATGGTAACTACATCATTAATGTCTCATAAACACCATATAGCAACAAACGGCTCTTAGCGAAAATTTTAGTTTTGTGAATACCCGTAAGTGTTACCCCGAGTTTAAGAGCTGTGCCAACC